TCAGGGAGGGAGCAGGCGACGGGGCCTTCACAGCCTTGGGGTGTGGAAGAGGACTTGGGGAGAGGTCAGGGCCTGGTCTGGCCCCACTGCGGTCTCAGAATTTGCAGAATCTCACAGAACCCTTCCTCAGGGGCCTCCTGCAGGCCCCCTGAGAGTGGCGATGGTGACACGTTGCTCACGTCCTCCCAGGGTACCCTCGGCATAAATGCTCTCACGTAAGGCACCACTTTGGGGCAGGAAAACACAGTATATTTGAGGGGTCGCTGTGTCACCACAGAGAGAAAGCAGGCACCCCAGTGTGGATGTCTGCAGGGCAGGGGAGGGCCGCTGAGGCCCAGCCCGCAGCACGGGGTTTACCACCCGGGATGTTCACTGAGAGTCTGTGATAAACGTGCACCTCTTTCTACGGTTTACCAGACTCAGCTCCAGTCTCTGGATCCTCCCACTGCTCTGCCTCTAAAGGCTGCATGATTTCGACGCCAACTTTTGGCACGCTGGGCCCTCACAGAGCTCTCAGGGAGCCAAGATGCAGACAGTGGGGGTACAACACCCTCGGGTCCATGCTCTGCCTCCTTCGGCAACTCGCCCCAACTTCGTGAGTGTCTACCGTGTAGGCCCGAAGGTCCGGGCATGGTCGGGGCTGAGAAGTCAAGGTGAGCGACAGGCTTCTGGGAGCCAAAGGCCAGGCCGGGGAGACTGCAGAGACCTCAGTGGCATGAGCAAAAGGGCACATGCTTTCTGCATGCGAGGTAGCCTGGGGGTCTCCTCACATCACAGTAACAAAGCGTGGCCAGGCTGTGACCCACACAACAAGGCATTTGTGGGAATACAAAGAGATGCTGGGTTTTTTGAAGAATAAACTGTTCCTTAAAAGCTAACTAGAAAACCAAAAGATTTTACAAGTAATTTTTGAGAGACAAGCTTATCCCTTAAAGCATCAAAACTTATTCTAACCATTTTGAATAATATACCTTAAAATATTTAGTGCATTTCCTATTGAACTACAATTAATTTATCCTTTTTCCAGTGAGGGAAAGTGAGGACTATCCTCAGGAGGTCACATTCAAGCTAAATTCGGGCTTTTAAAGTTAACTTTTTAGTAAGTTTTGCTGTTTATTGCTAAACTCTTGTGTTAAGGATCGGAGCAGACAGCAGCGCGGCAGCGCGTACAGAACCCTGCCCAGAGCAGCGGTTGTTGAGTGGGCTCTTCCTGAGTTTCACAACAGGGGAGGGTCCTCGCTTTTCCTGCCAGGCTGAGCCAGGTTGTGAATTGACCCTCAGAGCAAGCGGGGCCTCTGTCCAGGACCCGGGAAACTCTGAGCCCAGGCCGAGGAGGAGCACACGGCTCAGGGAGGTCCAGCCCTTGCCTGGGTGGCACAGCCAGGGAGCGGCAGGGCTGGGCTCCGCGGAGGGCTCCTCACTCACGCTGCCCAGGCTGCTTCCTTCAGGCTGTGCGGGTGGCCTCTCACGGTCAGGTTGCCGCTAATTCTGTCCGCTCCCACCTCCATTCCTTCGGAACAGGCTGCATGTGATGTCCCGGGCACTAAGAGGAGCTCGTTAGAGCTGCGCTTCGTACAAAACCTAAGGGCTCCTTCGAGCGTGCAGCCCTCCGCTGGGAGCCCTGTGCCGGGCTTGGCTGGCCACAGCCACGTAACAACTGACTGGAGTTTTCATTTTCATCATGATTCACCACGGTCCTTTTTCTGGATTGCTGACACTGCCAGCCTCTAAAAAGCGTGAAATTATTTTATAGACATGTATTTTTTATTCATTTAAAATCCACAAGGCTGAGCTGTCTACCTACAAAACTGTAATTAGATGCACTAAGAGTAAAAAAAGAAAAAGAAAGCTTCTATCTACTTCAAGAGCTCTGGGCACCAACTCAGCACGCAGCGCGGCCGCTGGGAGCTGTGTCAGGGGTGTCTCTGGACTAGGCGGGCCAAGATAAGGTCATGTGCCAGGTGTTAAGAAACGTGAAAATTAAGCTAATTAGGCTTCTTGGCTGTGTCTCTAGTGTCCAGGTCACCCACCAAACACCTCGAAACACTTGTCATTTGTTTAGAACTTAGTTTTTTTAAAGTTTCAGTCCCGACACACTTTCGGTGTGAACAGAATGAGTATCTGTATTTCAGCTGCCCCACCCAAGCCTGATACACATGATGCAAGACATCCGTGTTGAAGGACTGACTCCCCCCAGTGTGCACGGTGCTCGCAGAGAGCAGTCAGTGCTTTCTCAGAAATGCTTCTCTAACACTGTCCAACCCTGGGAGTGGGGTTTAGGTAGAGTCGGTGGCTGTGCCCAAGCGCTGGAAAAAGTAATGGCGGCAGCAAGTCTCAGGGACCCTCTGTCCCTATGCAGTGGCCCCCACAGACCTGAATGGAGCCAACAAGATGGCGAGGCCCCATGCAAACAGGACAGCGAGGGCAGAATCCAAGTTTCTATAGATGAAAAAATGGGGGTTTTTCAAAGAACAATGGCACGACCCAAGTCATTGCTTCCAAGTAGCTGAGCTGGGGCCTTCAGAACGAGGCTTCTGAAGAGTAGATGCTGGCTGCACTGTTCGTACCACACGGTAAAAACCCAGTTTATTATTCAGTGTTTGCCCTGAAAATGTTAGGGACACAAGGATGTACCTCCTTTTCAGACACAGATTTTTTTTTATAAACAAAAAGGAAAGATTAAATGCACTCAAACAATAATCACTACAGTCCAGCCTCGGCATGGCTGCTAGTCATAATTCATATCTAACCAAGTTACTTTTCCACTTTAAAGCCTGGAGAGGGCACCTAGGAGTTGCCCACTGCATGCAAGCAAATCTCTTGACGTGGCACTGAAGTCCTTCCCGTTGGCCTGCAATTCAGTTTTCCTCACCATTCACATCTCTGGCCCCAAGCACAGCAAAAACCTTGCTGTTCTGCAGACAGGGAGGCCCCGCCTTGCTTCTGGGCCTTTGCCATGGAGTTCCCTCGGTCCATAATGTGAAATCTTCCATAGCCTTTACCTGCACTGCCCTCCATGAACCTTTCCTGATCCTTGAGTCAGGACAGCTTTCTCTACATTCCATAGGATGGCTATATATCCCTTCATCATATAATTAATCACACTGAATTGTAATTGTTAATATACCTATCCCCTCCCCTTCCACTGGAGACTGCAGCAGAGGTCAAGGATTATTAATCTTTGTATTAACCTTGTTCAGCCAGAGAGAGAGAGAGAGAGAGAGAGAGCGCGTGCACGCGCTCATGAGAGTGAGCTAGTTCAGTAAATGTGGCACGGCTGGCTGACTGAGAACAAGGTTTTCATACTTAACTCAGCTTCAATATGAAATTCAAAACAATGAAGAAGACAGGACTCAAATATAGCAGGGAAATAACATACACTTTTACTCTCAAAATAAATACTAATCAATTTTATTTTATAAATACAGATGCTGAGTTTTCCTCCAATTACCAACAGATCAGTTTCACATGCCATTTATTATTGGTGGTGGTTTAAAAAATTATTTAAATAACTGGTTAGGTCAGGATAAATGGGCACCATTAGGACTGCTAAAAAAATATAGCTGGATGCAATCTTCCAAAACTAATATTCTGAGGGGGGAAAATAATCTCTGGAATTTCTAAAGTGGGTAAGAGGAAGTAGAGAGAGAAAACACAATCAAATATTCATCTGATAACATTTGCTGGCTGTTGAAAGTGTCTCAGCTGCATGAAAGCTGAAGGGGTTCTTAGTTGTTCAGAGAGAATAGTACTGAGCTTTCATTTCGTTTTATATCCTCAAAGCAAATTTGAATATTTTCAGTGATTTACAAGATGAATTAAAAGATCAGTGGGAGAGAATAACTCACCCCATATTTTGGCCACGGCCACTTTAAACAGAGGCAAAACTAATTCTGCAGCTTTGGAAAACGCTGAACAGTTATTTCTGGAGACATGTAATACTGGAGGTTCTACCCGGGTCATGGCAGAAACTGCAGACATCAAAAATATTCAGTGAAAACACAAAACCCAAACTCAGTGAACCGATACCTAAGTGATGTTTAGAGGCATAGCGTCACTGGACACTGCCGACTGAGCAAATGTGTTGGTAACCACTGATCAGTTGTGAGCAATCTCATCGCATTCATGGCAGGGCTCCGTGTTAGGGGGTGAAAGGCTGTGGATCCCAGAGCTCCATCTGGCCATGTGGAACCTGAGACAAACACTGTAACCATAGGTGGTCTGAATGGTTACCTTTGCTCGGTGTCGCCCAGAGCCAGGCTGGAGGGCCTGCAGCTTGAATACACCTTGACTTTGAGTTTGGCATGAAGTTTAAAGTCCACTCCCACATCTTGGGAAACCACAATCACAGGCGATTTACCCCCCACTGTTCAGTACTCACACAGTCCTTCAAATACCTTTTCTGGGGGGAGGCAGATACTACTTCATTGGCGGACCCCCCAGATCAGCCTGACGTGCACCCCGGACCGAGCGTGTGCCCCCCGTCTGACCTGTGTGAACCACAGCACACTGCGGAGACACCGTCCGTGCCCGCACAGACGGCTTCTGCTCCGGCTTTGGAGTAGTCCCACCTTTTACGTGGAATTTTTATGGATCTCGTCAGACCAAGTTAAAGCTTTTCACTGCTCGCGGGCTGGACCTATCCCATCACGCAACGATTCCGTGAGTTCTCTTTACATGGGAAATAACAACATAAACTATTCCACTTCAAATGTTATATTCCACTATAAATTAAACTTGAGCCCAGGAGTGCCTGGGCAAAATACGAAAATGATTATGAGACCTACGAGGTAAGATGTTATGCAGGGTGATGCACTACTGCAGCACGCACCTGTGAAGGGGCTTGTGTTGCTCTAACAATATGTGCATTCAAATGAAGTCAGCAATGTTGGCTGGGACGCAGCCCAGGGGTTTGTTTGGGCTGGTCCTGTCGTGATGCAGCAGCGCATGGAGATGTAATTTCAAGAGGAATTCGAAGCTGAAAAAAAAATCAGATCAAGTGAAGTACACACAATTTTTATTCTTCTATACAATACATAGATATATATGGATAAATTTTCCTTAAAGAGCTTGCAACCCTGAGGCGATGTCCTTGGGCATATAAAATATAAAGCAATAGCAAATGAAATTGGCGCTCAGGAACGCCAACCGGACTTCGAACACTAACACGTGTGCAATCGCACACCCCCCGACAGCGCTCCACGCCTCATCCAGTCTCAGTTCAGCTGCCTCCGCTGCCGCGCACTCTGCACGCCAGACAGCCCGACTCTGCAGGTATTTCATCACACACAGTGTCTTCCTTTCCAACTGAAATTTAATAAATTAAATTAACACAGATTTACATATAGGGGTTTTGTCTGGTGAGTGCATTGCCAGAAAGCATGCCTAGTTTTGATGCCAACGTGTGCCCATGTGAAAACTTGGGCCCTCAAAGGGCATTGGATGCCATCTGACTATTGCAACCTTGGGGTCCTGGAGGGTTCCCTGGGATCCACCAGAAGTGAGGGTTTTTTCATGTAATTTGAGGGCGACGTCAAGGGTGTGGCTGACTGAAAGAGGTGGAAGGTCAGAGCTACTGCATTAAAGAACCAGTGAATCCGACGTCCTCGAGTTTCAGGGTGCACGACCCACCCACTGTGAGATGGGGCAACAGTGGGGGCTACAGGTTGCTGGTGGGGACTGGGGGCAGGGGCCTGGGTCTCAGGAGACTGTTGTGCTTCTTATTCATCAGCTGAATGGATGGCCAGAGATCCTTCAGTAAATGGTAGAAACCTTTTCCTAAATATTCCCTTTTCCCAAAGTCTTATAAACTGCAGTGAGGGCAAATGCTTGAGAAACTAAAGTTGAGTTCATTATATTATTTATATATTATCATCTTCCCTCTGAGGATAACATAGAAGTGTAAATAAAAAAGCAGACAAATACCTCGAAGGTGACTCGAGCTAGAGTGACTTTTGCTTTAAAACAATCGTCAGGCCTGAAAAGCACATCTTGCAAGCAAAATCTAACTTGTCTGGCCCATGGATACACATGATCTCGAGTCCCTCCTAGATTCACAAGGTCTGTTTTTCTGAGGAATATCCTCCATTAATATTTATTTTATGCCATAATTATTACCAAGGGTAACCAGTGCAGCTTTATCTTCCTTTCAGGCAGTGACCCTGTCCTGGTCTTACGGTCTGCCTGCTCACCTCACTTGTCAGAACTCCTGCGTGGCCGGCGGAAGCTGGACACGTTTTCATTCAGTGCATAGATCCTTCGGGAGAACTCTTCAAATTCTCCCAGAACTTGTTCGTCGCACTCCACCGCCACAGCACTGTCCACTGGGATGCAGTTAAATGCCTCCAGCTGGTCACTCGAGGTGAACCCCGTGGCTTCCATCCCGATGATCTCTTCGGCTTGCTCCACAGCACAGCAGAGCTCAGCATCCGAGACTGGGTGGAATTCCCCCGGCAGCTGCACACTGGCAGAGCCGGCCTGCTCGCTGGGCAGGAGAGAGCCATTTACTGTGGCTGGATGCCCAGAGAGGGCTTCTCCTTGTTCTTGGCTAGTCTTTCCACCCATGTGGCCTCCATTTAAGCTGTCACCCAAATCTACTCCTTTTTTCTGGTTTTCTTTGGAGAAGTCCAAGGAGGTATCCAAGGAGGAGGACAGGGATGTTGTCTTTCTCTCGGATTCTCCCAGGGAGGGGATGGCGGGCACAGGCTGTGCCAATGCTGAGTTGTAGCTGGGGGGAAGGGTTCTGTACTGCAGTCTCTCGTTCTCTGAGCTGGCCCGTTTTCGGTGTCCTTTGTCCGGTGATGGGATGCCCCCAGAGAAGCCTGCATCTGCACTCCCAAATATGGAGCTTTGTCTCTTCGGGACAGGGATTGCACTGGAGGTGTGATGTCTGTCGCTAGAAGACAAACAAAAAACGAGAAGTTAACTTTCATCTTTAGAACTCAGTTTAAGCCTTCTGGATCCAGACACAGGAAATAGCATGTTTAGGACCTGAGATAATAAAAATTGACAATAATCAATCTTAGTATGATTGTAGTGTCCGAATGGACAAAGCAACCCAAAAAGCATTCTGAGTCCGACTTTGCGAGCTCCCTTCAAGAAGCATGCAAGACAGAATGCCCAGGGTAGGAATGGGGATGGAGACCGTGTCACACGGGGCAGAGCTAGAGTAACTGGAAGGACTGGATCTGGAAAAACTTTATATAATCTGAAAGACTATCCATATTCTTATTTATCACATTCCATTTATTTTATCTTAATATAGCAGGAACCCTTATGTGGGAGAGGAGTTAAATGACTTGCCCATGACCCCTTGGTGAGGCCGCAGCAAGGCCTGGCTAAAACTCATGACTCATGACTCCTGACGTGATGACTGGCGGCGTTTCCAACACCCAAACCCTAATCACCTGAGACGAGAGAGAACTAACTGATGGAGAGAGGGTCAAGGACACTTTTAAAGAAAAACTGATTTGGGCAATGACTTCTCCTTTACCAAGCTAGTCACACACATTTTGGAAGTTTGGTTTTCAGTGCTTTCTTTCAAACTTGAGGCACTTCTCAGGACGACACTTTGGGCCAGCAATAATAATCATTATTAAGCAATACAAATTTTAGTTTCTAAAGTAGTTTCATATACATCATTTCACTTGGTTGTCACAAAAACCCTGTCAAGAAAGCAGAGTATGCATTACTCTTAAGTCTGAAATGCCAACATGTTAATGAAAAGAGAGCACCCAAGCCCTGCAGGTAATGGTCACGTTTTGTGCCATGCCAGTACCACCGTCCATACAGTCCTCATCGCAACCTCTGACACTGCACTGGGAAGGAGCTAGCCAGCTGCAACAGAACCGTGCGGCCAGACTAGGTCCAGAGACAGAGGGCGGTAGAGACACAAGTGTTTCTTCAGGGAAGGAAACACGGTTGCAAAAGGGCAACCACTGGGCCTGCGCAGGGGCTCGACCCGAAGCTAGCCCTGAGCACAAACAGCTACTGCATGGGGCCAGGCCTGGGGAGGAGAAACCAGTGCAAGGCAGAGGGGGCCCCGCCTCCGCCTCCGAGGGGCTTCCAGTCTTGTTGGAGGAAGGCACCCAAAATTACCGAAATAATGCACTTTCAAATCACAGCTGTGATGTATCCAGAAAAAGCAGGAAGGATCCAGGTTCCCTTACCTGTGTCCACAGCCACAAGCTCTTAAGCCAGATCCCTACGCCCTCTCCTCGCAGGTTTTTTCTGATGTGGGATTATCCCTGCGGTCTCAGAGACCTGAGCAAGGGTTATTCTTCATGAGAAAAGGCAACCACAAGTCTTCTAATCCGTGGGCCTGTCAGACAAGCACGCTCAGCTGTAAGTGTTGGGTGCCAGGAGAGATTTCATAATTAGGGGTGGTCAGTGGGGTGCACAGAACCAGGCAGGCAGACCAGTAAATTACTGTTTTTGGTTCTCAAGAGAAGCAAAACAAAACAGAGCAAAATGTGCTAGCCCTAATCTGGGTTTTCAGTTAGTATGTTGTCAAAACTCATGGTAATTGGGTATGCCACACATTTTTGTGAGCCTTGTTGTTTTCACTCTACCACTTGCTGACGGTATCCCTCTCTAAATGATTCTGCAGGGGGCCCAGCTAGTCAAACCAAAACAGAGCATCAGCACTACTCACAGAGTCTATTCTGGGCAGTTTCCACCCCGGCCGAGGAGGGGCAGGAAGCACCAGGTGGACCAGCCCGGAACAGTGACAGTGACAGTGCTGGGATGTGACTTGACGCCAGGTGCTTAACCACTCCTGGCTGTGAGGGGCGAGTGACATGAAGCCTTCTCTGCCACCACCACCTCCCCTCTGCCTACCCCATCCGGCTCTGCTTCTCCACTGGGCTGATAAAAGACAGCGTGAGAAACCGGCCAGGGCACAACAAGCAGAGCTTATGACACAGAGAAGAGGGGTTTGTGTAGTTCTCTGTGATTCTGAAACTCCCTGAAAGCTCTCCTCAGCTCTGCACAACAGAAAAGTAATAAAGTGTGACAACCCTCCCTGTAACTACAACCGGCAGGAACTACTGCATTCCCGAGCATCACTAATGCTGAACCCTCACAACCAACCTGTGGAAAAGGCTGGCAGGTGCATGGGTCCTGTGGTTTAAGGCTGCAGAGCCCACATCTGAACTAGGCTTGGTCTGACTCGAGGGCCCGTGCAGTGCGTTGCATCCCACGTGGGGAAAATCACACTCAAATTCGACATTTGCTAAGCGCCGCCGACATGCCAGACTTCAGCCGCGTGTTCTTGTACAGGCTTTTGCATGGAGGTCGCCCAACCTACATCTGAGCTTGGGGGCATTGCTCCGGTTTCAAAGGATGGATTCTTAGGCTTTTCAGAGACTTTGGTATCTTCTGACATCCTGATTTGGTGACATTCTTCTTTAGTTCACTAGTATGTTTATGAGAACCCAGGTGATGAGAATTTGAGATACAATTTGGAGAACTCCTGTAACAGTGAAATGCTTCCTCTTAAGGATGGTAAGGAACCGAGTTACGATGCACAGGCAATAGAGAAGCCTGTGTGTTGGCGTTCACCCTCCAATCACCATGTTTTGTCTTTCCCCCATTTTTAGCCACGTGCAATGAAACCTGCCAAAGATTGTTACTACAGTCTTTCTTACAGCTCAGAAAGAGTCAGCTGAACAGAAAAGGTATTTTCATGACTCCGGGCCACCACTGTGGACATGTATTACTAAACTACGACCCAGTAGAGAGACTACAGGGTGTTCGGTGCTGTGTTTCATAGGACACGAGTCTGAGAGTTAAGTCTGTGCTTAAGCTTTTCAGTGTCCTCTCTCACGGTCAAGGTCAGTGTGGTTGTGTCAACACTCTTGTCTGCAGGGGCTTCTCTCTCTCTTAGATTTATTTATTTTTAGAGAGAGGGAAATGGAGGGAGGAAGAGGGAGAAAAACATGGATACAAAAGAGAAACATCTATTGGCTGCCTCTTGCATGCATCCCAACCAGGACTCAACCCACAATCCACGTATGTGCCCTGACCGGGAATCGAACTGGCAACGTTTTATTTTGCAGAACAACGCCCAAACGACTGAGCCACACTGGTTGGGGGGCTGGGGTGGCTTCTCTTTTTTTAAAGTTTGCTTCTATTCTGTGCTCTTGTAAAGTAGACATCCTAAGAATTGTGTGCGAAGTAAGAGTAACTAAGACCTGAGTGATAGGCCAGCAGATGTCCTGGGCATAATATGCTTTAGTATGAGTTTTGTAACATTAGTTTTGGATGCTCAGAATTAATTTTTTATTGCTTCCAGGATCTTAGCAATGTTCCAGCTTTTTAAGATAGCTGAGCTCCAAACAGCTGAAGTGTTGAATGATTACCTTAAAATACATACAAACACAGATGCATTTTTAATTATTGTATTAATTTTCTCTGGAAAACTCAAAAATATAAACCATATGAAAAATAAAAATCACTCACAAGGCTATTACCCATCAAATGACCACTATTCATTGGGGATATTTTCCTTCCAGACATTGATTTTTTGTGTGTTTAAAAGATCAAACAAACCAAGTGTGTGTTTGTGATACACACACACGCACACACAGCTCTGTTCTCTGCTGTTGGATGTTATTAAAACCTCCTGGTAAACAATTCTAAATTGTTGCTCCATTGACTAGAATACCATAATTTGCTTAAACATTCCCTTAGTTTTGTAGATTTGGGATAGTTCTAAAATTTTACTATTAAGAAACTGCTGTGAGCATCTCTGTATAAAAACACAACACATAGATTTTTAATAAAATTTGATTTTCATGGTTAATGTAAGGTTTCCAGGAGAAACTTGCATTTCATATTTCAGTAGAAGCTAAGTTCTTATATACAAAAAGGAGCGTTTTTTTCTCTACTATTGCCTAAAAAGGTAAAAAGTATAAGTTAAAAAGGCAAACAATAGATAAAAAAAAAGGCCCAGAGGGTTTCACAACCCCTTCTGTCTGATCACAGGCCAGCTTCACGATGACTTCATCTAGATGGAAGACGAGGGTGAAAGGCACAGATTTCCTAACTATATGACCAGTTTTTAAAGGCTGTTGACAATTTACTTATCAAATGAAATCAGTATGTCGTTTAAGTTGTGATGAGTAACTTATAGGGTATCTGTACTCTCAGAAACAACCAGAGTCCATGCGGGTGTCTGCTGAGGAGCGGGCGTAGCGGGAAATGTGGGGGCTGGGCCCCGTCTTCCGCCCCAGTCCTGGGTCCCATCTTCTGCTCCAGCCCCAGGCCAGAGACTTGGCGGCCCAAGCCCAAGGCCTACGCAACTGAACTGAGCCCTCAGCTCACTGAACACCTTCTCCTCAGAGCCATTTGCCATGAGTGGATGTCTCTTCCAGCTTGGCTAAGGTCCAAAATGGAAACCTGGAAACATGACATCTGGGGTTTAATGCTGCAATTAAAAGGAATTTATTTAAAAACAACAACCCAAAGATACCGTGATTGCAAATTTACTAGGCCATGGTTTATTGAAACACAGCACAGGCAGTTGAATAACTGAACCATATCGAGCCTGTTTAATTACTTAATAATAAACCTTTTGCTGTAAGTAAAAATGGATACTCCAGGGTCACAAACAATAGCATGATGAGGGGGAAGCCAAGCGGTCTGGAGTTCCGCAGTCAAGGAGAACAGTCTGGTTTAAATTTGGCTTCTTTGGATCAAATCTTCTCTGATTTCTGCAAATTAAGGTGATTAATTTCTTTCTCATTCCATGAGTCGTCATTTATTACAGGTGGTTACCTTTTGTTATCCCTTCAGCTGTATCTGGAGAGAGGGGCGGTGAGGAGAAAGGGCACTTGGAGACCTGGATTCCACCCCCAGCTCTGCCGCCACCATGCTTCTAGTTGGAGCTATGAC